AGACTGAAATACTGCTTTCCCAAAATTGGTATCTAATCTGGAAGTCCAGTACATAATGCTGGGAAACAACTAGCTGAAGGTATTCAGCCTTCCAGATTGGTGATACCAGAAACAGCCCAAGGATTTTGCTTGGGCTCCAGTGGAATAAGTGTTATTTTGTAGAAGTAGTACACCAATCAGCTGCTAATAAAAGATATCAAGTTATCCATCTTGAAAGACTATTGCATCACAAACTGTTCTTTGGAGCAGTTATTTATAGCCACACACATGGCAAAAGATGTGGTCCTCAATATAATATTGAAGAGTTCTGGTAACTTCAAAGCATATGGCTTCCCCAAACAACATTTTGCATGAGGAAACCACCACACAAGGGAATTGGTATAATTGGAACTCTAAAACCAACTTGGAAGTGATTTTTGTACAAATTCTCAGTTCTGTGTTGTGTTTCTGGAACAAGGGAGATGAGATTCCATCCTCAGATTAGCTCTCTAACCAGTAATTAAGTACATTAGGAAGCCATGCAAAGAGCAGCTCCATCCCAGGAGCTGATCAGTCATCTTCCAGGCCATCAAGTATTCAGCTTGTAGTTCCAGGGCAAAAAACTAGAACTTTATCTTGAAATACACCTGGTATGTCTGAGAGCCCGATTTACAACCAAGTGGACAACTACCACCAGCCAGAATGGTCTACCAGTAGGGAGTAATAAGGATAAGTCTTACCTGGCTTTGTGGATTGCCCTGCAGATTAGAGGAACTGGTGAGAAGGTGCACAGAAGGTCTGCAGCAAGCTCAAGCTCATACCCTCTGCAATTTGAGTCCATATACTTGGAATCGTATTTTGTTATAGAAAAAAATAAGTCTGTCCCAACAGGTGGACTAGTTAGTTTTGCAGTGACTATTCATGTCTGATGCTGCTGCCAGCCTAGTAAGCCAAGTCATCAATAGAGGTGAAGCACTATTAAGTTATGCCATAAAATGGGCATTTCCACAGCATGATTACTTCTGTGGGGGCAGAAAGCAGCAGGATCCCTCCCTGATTGATAATTAAGTGTATAGCATTTTCAGTACCTTTGCTAACACAATGTTATGGGCTAGAAAGCCAATTCACATATACAGTTCTATGTCCTCTACAGATCAAATCCACTAAATCTAGGTGAGCTCTCCAATCTATTACTAATAACTTGGCTGGCAATTGCAGCCATAAGTCCAACTCCATGAGGGCATGCAATATTCTAACCCTCATTTCATGCTTTGCAGAGGAAGTGGACTGACTTGGCCTAGAGTTGTAGAAGTCTCCAGTGAAGGAGGTAAGTGATATCATGCATATACACATGGCCCAAAGTTCATACCATTCTACTCAGATGCCATTTCATTACATTTAGTGAGAAAGTAAGGAATCTACCCCCTAGCAGGTAAAGCCTTGCTGTCCCAAAAAATCTATGAGCTATCTCCCAAAATTTTTTAAGGGAGTCATCTTAATTAGTTAGCAAACCCTGTTGTCCATAAAGACCACAACTGATGCATGCCAGGTCCCAGGTATGTTCTGACTTTGAACACTAAGTCATTTACATAAATCATGCCTATCTTTCTTTGGTGTGCCATCACTGCTGCAAGGCATTTTCAGAAAGATGCCTCGTGCCCAGGAGAGTCCATAGGGCAGTACATATTGTCTAGTAATCAAGTCAGCCTATTGTAAACCTCAGCTACTTCCTGTGGGCTACATGGATGGCCCTGTGAAAGCAAGTCAGGGACCACAACCCACTCATGAACCCAGAAATGGAATAATGAGAGTAAGCATTGTTTTGTGAACCTGACATGATGTGTATATATCTGATCAGTCTTAATTCTAGGACAGAACAAAACCAGTTTTGGGGTGGAGGGGCAGACAGTTCACCCCAGTTGTCTTAGGGAATCTATTCTCTGGCTCTTAAGTGGTTTCATCAGCAGGGTCCCTGAAAAGAAACTGGTAAAAAAGGGATACATTCAGGCAAAGAATAAAAGTGAATGCAGTGGCTGTGGCCATGGACATGGGGAACTTGCATGGCAGGTGCTTTCTTCATGCTGCCATAGGGAAAAGCACCAGTGAAGGTAGCTAGATCCTAGGGCTCACCCACATACCCCTCCGACCTGAACAGGGTCATTCCAGCTTGCAGTCTAAGACAGTTGCCAACTCCTGTCCTAAATCACTTGTCTGCCACAAGTCTCACAATGACCCAGTGGAGGGACAACAACTAATCCATATGTTCAGCTCTGGGTTGGGACTGATATAGCTTGATACTCCCAAAACGTATAGCCCATAAGAGAACAGCTGCTTCCACCTGGTATGAAAAAAAAAAAATTCCTCTCTAGAAGGCTATTTTGACTGGGTTAAGGACTGCATTCTTCAGTGCAAGGCCATGAGTTCTTAATGCCCTACAAGTTACCTACAGATTTGAACAGAAACAAGGGCTTTGTCCATCTGATTCCCGGAAAAAAATGCACATACTTGGATGGCAAGTCCTGTATTATTGCCCATAGTCAAGAAAAAATGTTGCATTGTAATTAGCATAGCTGTTGCTCTGCCTTATCCATAATTGCTTGAAGTGACCCTTCCAAGTCTGATAAGACTTTAGGAAGCAATTATAAGAGTCTGAAAAGAAAGGAGGGTTACCTTTCTTCACATCAAAGGACAATTTCATTGATAGGACTTAGCAATCTGAAATGGAATTGAAGGGAGAAAAACAAAGGTGCTGTGACCAAAAAGATCCAGTTTTCTCGGGTTTTTAACCGAGTTATGGGATCTGGTCTTAGTCTAGATTAGACACTTGAACAACACATCGTTGGGAGAATAAGATAGCTCAGACCTTTGATAGTGCTTGCATACTTGCATGAGGTTAGGGAAGTGAGGATCAAATGGAATGCATTTCCCTTTACTAGATCCACTGATCCATTCCTGACAGAGTCTTTCCTTTCCCTCTTTTGAATTACAGGCAGAGCACTCCAGGTATCCTTGTGAACGTGTCCTGAAAGGCATTAAAACTAAAAAGCCAGCATCTAAGCCAACAAAACCACCTCAGAAGACAAAGCCCTCTTTGATAAGGAGGGTAGTTAGAAGGTCTCCATAGTTAGTTGGATGTTATGAGGGGCTTCCTCTAAATTTAGAAGAGGACTGGAGAGCGAGAAAAATCTACTATGACCATTTTTTCTCCCCCTCTTCCTCAGGATGTGGGCTATGGATCCACTCCTGGACAGTGGGTTATAGTATGACAAGGGCAGCAAGGTTACATGCATAACAGCCAGATTGAGGTTCACTAGGTTCATCATGCTTTAGTAACCAATATGGAATGTGTATAGAATACACTATGAGGTCACTTTACTGGAGAGATGAGAGCTTTCTACTTGATGTAGGGAAGAAGGAAAAACTAGGACATGGCAAAAAAAGTACAGAGGAACACTAACGTTGTTAAATATAGATCTGGTGCCACGAGGAGGACGACTGGGGGAGAGGAGGTTAATGATTAATAAGTTAACGATGGCATAGGTTTGCATCAATGGAGACTTTTCCTTCTTGCAGCCACAAGCTCAGAGTTGAACTTGTAGTAGGCTTAGGCAAATGTCTTCTTTTTCTTGTTGTGAACATTGACAACAAATATCCCTTTTAATATCCTCTTTCTCTCACTCAAAAAAAACAAGCTTAAAATGAGTCTGCACTCAAAAATAAGCAGAAGATCTGATGGCTACCAGGCTCCTCTGGGCTACTACAAACACAAAAGGGCTGAGGAAGATCACAGCCAACTCCACTGTTTATCCCCTAAGAGGAACATGAGCACAAGCAGGAAGAAGGATGCATATGCCTGGCCCCAATGGATGCAGATGCTCAGGAAACGTAAGTTTACTTTCATGAAACATGCTCCTAATGTGGCATCTACACTGACCTACTCAAAAAGAACAGCATTTCCTGTGATACCATTAATAGATAGTTAATATCCAGCTTTGTGTTTTTCATAAGTCTGATGGGGTAAGCATTAACTGCACAGTGTCTGGAAAGGCTGGAGTCTCAGTGATCACGTTGAGTTAAAAAACAGATCAGACATGAGAGTGAGCTGTGAAAAGCAACTTGGCTATAGTGAACGTTTGCCACTCTGAGCAAGAAATGGATGGGGACTTTATTTACCATTTTCAGATGCAACGTGGGATTTTGTTTAAAAACCAAAGTTTGTTTGTATAGCATCTAGTCATGAGTGAGTTCATTTTATTAGTTTCTTATGGTGAGTATACTACATTGGTGGGTGGCTCCATGAGCTGAATTGCCCAGCTTTGTGTTTCAGTGTGGAATTTAACACTGCTGTCTTAAATCTTAAAAGTTTGGGGACATGACTACTGACACCACTGTCTCTTCCCATGTACTGTTTCAGTTAAACCCAACAGTGGCAAATGATCTACACCCCCACAAAAGGAGGCTAGCAAGACTTTCTGTAATGGCTTTACTTCCCATTCCTTTAACCTGAACAACGAAGTGTTTATTCACATTCACAACAGACTGCAAAATTAATCTTTTATGGGGGCTTTTAGGCAAGGGAAACTGTTTCCTAGGCAGTATTGACAAAGGGGTACTTCTCTTTTTACTACACAGTTTTGTTAGTTACAACTGAGTTGCATCTTCACTTACATCTTTAAATAAAACTATAAGGCTCTCTAGAAGCTTGAAATAGAGAATGTGTGGTTCTTTTTTCAAAAAAAAAAAAAAAACAAAACAAACAAAACCCAAAACAGCCCCTTAGAAGTCTAGATTAGGCCTCAGTTCTTTTAGAAACTACCTGAAGACTCCAAGAACACAGAAGAATGCCATGAATTTATTATGGTAATTTAGCATTTTATGTTAGCTTTTCTTCCAAAAATTAAGATCCACAGTAGGAGTACTACTATTTTAGCTACTGAAGACTTCGAAGGTTTTAAAAGTTGTTTCTAGTAATTTAACCTGGCAAAAGAAAAACTAAAAAACATAAAAACCCCACAACTTACAATATCACTGCCAGAGAGCGACGATACAGAAGAAGCAGATGAACCAGAGGATAACTGTTGGTTACTTGTTAATGATAAAGTCAAGTGTTGATTGTAGGGTGATTCAGAGTCTCTGTTCTGTTGCTGTTCTCCATTGCATGGAGCTATCTGCTCTCTTATTTTCATTCTATTGTCTGTTAATAGAAACGCGAATTTAGTATTTAGGAATATGGTACGCAGTTCCATTAGATTTTTCTAAATTAAAAGGTATTTCCAAACTTTTACTAACAAACTAGATGGTTAAAAAAAAAAAAGTCACCATAGAAAGCTTTAAGCCTTCAGTAAAAAAAGATACAGGCTGCTATAACCTCTTCACTAAACTTCCAAAAATTAATGAAATACTCTAGACAAAATTAAGATATTTAAAAAGACATCTGACCAAAAAAAATGCCTTTCATTTTTTGATTCAAGCCTGTGTTGTACAACCTGCCGTACTTACCAAGATCAGGTGACAGATTAACTTTGCTCCCCCACTTCTTTTTAATCCATGCCCTGTAGTCGATCACTTCCTGCGTTACTTTGATGATTCTACCTAATGTGCTAGAAAAGAAGTGATATTTAATTACTAATGCAAAAGCTCAGTGGTAAGCAACAGAAGTGAGACACCTAACAAGGCAATTGTTTAGTTGTATTTAGTTCAACTTACAATTGAGATAAAGTAGCAAGCAAGGGATATCCAAGTTTTCCTTGTTTAGTTGGCTTACTATTACAATTTGAGCCAGTAGGAAGGTATACTTGTTAGCAAGTCAAGTTTCTTATCTCTCTTATCTCCTATTTGGAGTTAATGTTTAGATAATAACAGTTCAATTACCTGGTGTTTTTTGCTTGCTTGTTTTGTTTTTTAGTTCAAATGCTAAATTTGCCTACTTTAACCTCTTTGGTAATTGAAATACTTGTTCTCAATAACAAAAACACCTTAGTCATTTCTAACACCTCTTAAGTAACAGTTTTATATCTTTTGCGAGTCTAGATAAGAATATTTAAAAGAGGGTCACAGGGTAGATGCCTTAAAGTTTAAAAGTGCCAAAACAAAACCTCAGACCTTGGTCCCAGATTGGTCTTAATACTGAAAAACTATTCTTGTCCAGGCGCCTTAAGTAGGAATTTAAGGGATATAGAACCTTATAAAATGATTAGCAAGGATCCTTGGAGACAATGGGAACAGAAAATAGGTACATATGCTGTGAACGACTGCCTGCTTCTTGAGCTCCAAAATCACCCATTACTAAATTTAGTCTTGCTTCAGTCAGCTATGACAGAGGTGACCAACCTGCAACACAAGTGGCACAGGCAGTCTTTGTGTGCAGCACACAGGGGTTTGGGGAAGGGACAAGCAGCACAGAGCAGACAGGGCGGGAAGCAGAAAGCAAAGCAGCAAAAATCAAGCAGGAAGTACATGGCTTGGAGCAGAATGAGCAGCAAACTGGGCACAGGAAGGGATCAGAGTGGCACTTGGAGAGGGCCTGACAAAAAGGTTGGCCTCACCCAAGCTATGTATATGAACTTCTTCCTAGAAGCAGCCCCCAAAATCACTGAGATTCAGGTTGCACAAGACATGTGCAAGCATCTATGACTCAAAACAGTGCTGAAATAGAGCAGAATCTCAGAATACAAGGCTGATACAGTAAATCTATGCAAGGCAACTACATAGTTGAAGGCTTATTACGGAGAGCTAAAAATAATTTTGGACTACAAAGCAGTATTTGATTTCATGACAAACTGCTATGTTAAGACAAAACCAATACTTAAACAATACATCCATTTTAATCACTGTCATCAATATGTATCAGACTTATCCTCATCCTTCGCAATTCACAGTTTCAACAGCCATCTCATGTCTTTTTAATGGACATTTAAAGGACACTCTTTTAAAGACATTTATAATCTTAGAGAAGAGAAAGTTATGTTGGCCCTCCGTGAGATGTATTTGGAGTCAAGGCCCATATTAATTTACTGATCTAACCTAGAAGTCTGAACCATATTGTAAGACAGCCATTTCAAGTGGCATGCCCTAGCAGCTTCCGGTCCCATGCACAGTATAAGTGGTGCAGGGCCATTCTGCAGGCTGGATCCAGCACGGGCATGCATGTGAAGCTGGTATGTGGATGCCATCCAGCCTCAGAGTAACTTTGTGCACCAGTGCCATCCAGCACATAGGGCTGTGTCATCCAGCCTGCAACGTCCCCTATGGGTTGGGCAAGAGTCCAACAGGCCCAATTCAGCAAGTGGGCTGGAGGTTGAGCAGCACTGCCTTAGTAAAACCCTGAACAGAGAAACTATATTATTTTGCTATCATAAGGGATTTGCTTAAGGTTACCTCCTGTGTCTCTCTCTTTTTTTTTTTTTTTTTTTTTTTTTTTTTTTTTATCTACATCAGGTGATCCATTAGTGTTTCTAACACAACTTGATTGAATGTTAACATTAAGTAACAAAAGATTTCCAAGGTTTAAAAACACATGCATCAGTGCTGGCAATGAAAACCACAACAATTTATTGCTTTTAAGGTTTTATGGAACTGAAAGAAAAAAACTAACAACAAATATAAGAACATTTTAAAGGATGGTGCTTTAATATTTTACTCAGATCACACAAAGAATCAGTTTCTATAAAAGATTAGGGAAATGTAGACTTTTTTTTTTTTTTACTCTATTGTGGCTATAGTTCTTTAAGCTCAGTTCAAATTCTGTTTTTGGGGAAATATGCATGATTATTTTTATTAAGCAACATTAAATTCTTCTAGAACAGTGTGCAGAGTGGCTACATCTGATCCCCTCATATCCTCTAGACAAAAGAAGATATAATGAGGCAAAGAGACTTTAATTGCCACAGTTCTTTTGCTGATTAAAATTCCTGATATAGGAATTCAGATTAGCAGGAATAGAACAAGTCATGGAATATATATGGAAAAAGCATCAAAGCACAGCTACTGTAAAGTAAATACTGCAATTGTGATTAACAGGAAGTTCTCATCAGAAGATATGGTGTCACTAGTATAGTGACTGAAAGACAAGCATACTGAAGTTACACCTGTACCAAAGAGTAAAAGAGAGGTAAACATGAACAAAGCTCCAAATATTGGCCACAAAGGTCTCAAACTGGAATGTAAACCAGGTAACTTGCATGGGCTCAAGGGGAATGTGCTTTGACATGGTCGGGGAGGTGCTGCTCACCACTAGACAGCAGGCTTTGACAAAGTCGGAGACTTACTTGAATAGTTTGAGACTACTCAACCCTGATTCTACATACAATCTGAACAATTTGGAAGACATCCTAGGTTTATTTTGGCAATACAATATAACCTCATAAATCCAGATATCAAAAATCCGGAATTATCAAAAACCCGGCACTTCCCCCCGCCACTCCAGGTCAGGCTGCCACTGCCCCCCACCCTCCCGGACACAGAGGAAGAAGCTTACATACAGCAGCTGCTGCCGCCATTCACCACCCCAAGCCATCGCTCTGTGTGTGGCTGCTACTCCAGGACCAGCTACTGCACCCCACACCCCGCTCCACAACCAGCCACTGTGCCAATTCAAAAAAAATCCAGAATTTTCAAATTTCTGGCACAGTCAGCCTGCCAGACTTACGAGGTTATACTGTACAAAAAACAACATACAGAAATAAACCCCTACCTCCCATATTTAACGCAAGCAATTTCTTTTCTCCAGGGCTAGAGTTAGACTTTAGGAAGAAAACTAGAAGATGCATATATTGTAGGCAATCACTCAAAGACTACTTGGGCTTAGGCCATATTGTCTGCATTACTGAAGCATCTGATGGATAAGTCACTACCTGGCTGTCCATACTTCACTAGTAGTAGTAGTGAGGCAGCCTAGAAAATCTCTCTTGGGGGAAGAAAGAGAGACTAAAACATCAAAAAAATTTCATGCAGAATTCTATGAAAAATGCTCCAGTAAAAAATAATTGCTAGTAAAGGAACCCTCAAGAATAGACATGTCATTTTTATTATACAACTAATTCTTATGCATGCTGCTCAATTCAGCTAATTCCAAGAGATTCATGTAAAACAAAAGCTTAAAGATACCACTTGTACAATCCAAATCTCATAAAGCAACTGGTGGTCTCTCAGCAGCTAGAGAAAGCTTTAAGTTGCATAGGCTGCCATTTCTATCTAATCAAGAAGCTAACAGATGAAGCTGCAAGTCCTCAGGTCAAAGTATCATTTTTTTCTATTACAGCCAACTCACTTCTCTTAAACTGCTGTCCTAAATACATTCCCTTAAATATGTATTATAAGAACAAATCCTATTTCCTTCAAGACTGGTACCTAATACAAGTAATGATTCTTAGTTAAACGTGGACAGCTGGACTTCTTTCAAATGTCTCCTGGGAAGTGCAAATTCTCATTATTTCAAAATGAAACCTTGAATACAGATAAGAAGATATTTTTGATGAGCACATGAGAAAGTAAGGAAAGCGCAGACAGTCAGTGCTTGGAGGACTCAGAAACATGCAATTTCACAACATACCATGCCTGAAAGTATCTATGCAACCCTCAATATAACAGCAGTTTAGGACAGCTAGAAGCATCCCTTTCTCATATTGAAAAGCTTTTAAGACTAATTTTCAAACATTCCTATTTATGTGAATCCATACATATTCAAAAAGTGGACTAAATTACCTCTCAGAATCTCTATTTGGATATGATCTTGCAAGAGGTGATACTGCATGGCTAAGAACAATGTAGGCATAATCAAAAACTTGTTTCACTTGCATGGCACCATAAGAACTTCTGCCGACGTCATTTCCTGCAACAATGTAAGTTATGAGTTTATAAGTTTAACTAGTAAGCAGAAACAGATTAATCATCTTGAATGGTTAAATTAGCTTTAAAATATACAGCCCACTCTGCATTTGTTTGGAAATATGCATTGAGCGGGCTATTTTAAGGACGACACACTGAAAATTCTGATACACTAAGAATGATGTGCTAGCCATTCAAACCGTTTAAAATTGGCAATTTAGAAGTGCCAATTTAAAATTTATTGCAATTTAGACCTGAATCCTGAAAAGGAAAGAGTAAGGTGTGCCCATTAAATAATTTCAATAAAGTAACATCAACTCTCCTACATAAAAATTATGCAAGTTAACATTTGAAATCTCATTAAAATCTTATGGTAACGTGAACAAATAAAGTACATAATGGTATCTGCGATTAATCTCATTTCCCTTTGAGTTATTTTTTTGTTAGTTTGCATTTGCTGCCTCATTTTTATCGAAGCAACCCAACCCCAACACTGGAAAAATTACATAGTTATGAGTATTTATCCATAAACTACCTGATAATAGCAGTCACCACCTGAATGACACAGTTGGAAGAACATAGGTATCAACCATCTGAGCTTATCAGAAGGCTCCCAGTCTTCAGAATTTTTATTCTTGATCTTCTGCAACCATTATTGTGACAAAGCTGAGGTTTTTTCCAACAGAAGAAACTTTTGTGGCTAAAGGTCTGGAGATTTGCCATCAAGGAAACATCCCAACCCAAGCTGCACTGTTTCTAGAATACATTTTAGTCTTTTTAAAAACTTAAGCCTTTCTATTAGAAATGCATTTATGTCTGAGAAACTTAACTACAAGGATAGTAAACTCTCCCAAAGAATCCTAACCATAGTCTAAGAAATTAGGATTCATGTTCTCTGCTACACACATAGCAAGATAACCTCCAAAGTCTCTTTTCACATCCTACTTTTGTATGGCTCAATAGCAAGGAGTTTTCCAGAGGCACAATACAGGATTTACATGTTCAGGCACAGAACTTTTCTTAAGCAATAAATCAGCAGTAGAGAACACAGGACTTAAAGTAACATAACCTGCCTCTTACTAACAAACAGAAGAGGTCTTTTGTTGCAGGAACAATGTGAAGTGAAGGAAAAAGGGGTCATTGCAGTACTGCAAAGTCAATACCAAAACACAAAAATCTGAATTACAGAGGCAAATCCTGGGAGCCCCAATCCCTGGGGCTTCACCCTATATTCAGGTAAAGGAAGGGGCAACTGCTGCTTCTTCATAAGGAGGAAGAAATGGTTTTCTACTACTGATGCCATCTCTGAAAAAGGGAAATAGACCCCCTACCACTCATTTTTATAGGGCAGCACCATGGCAACACCTACGACATCACATGCCCAGGTTTCCTGAGCTGCCTTATCTTCAGGGATCCTAATTTTCTAGGATTTAAAAAAATCCCCAGTTTTCAGTTAAAAAAAATAATCCCAAAATCCACATTTTTCATTGATTTTATATATAAAATGAATGAGAGAGAGATCATTTAAAAGTCATGGAAAAATGTGGATTTGGGGTTACTTTTTTCTTTAACCACAAATTGGGGATTTTTTTTAAATCAGCGAAAACCAGGATTTCTACTCATATTTGCTGCTAAAAAACAAAACATACAAAACCTTGCAGGCTGAGCATGGCAGGCCTCCTCCACATCTCTGATTGGCCAAGGAGCCCCAGGGACCCCCCCCACCCTCTCCACAGATTGCCAGATAGCCCGAAACCATGTCTTAATTACCTGATTAAGCCTGGGGAAGCCATTAATCCACATGTTACTAAACATGGATTAATGGCTTCCCCAGAGACAATCAGGATAATTAAGTTGTGGTTTTGGGCCATTCCCAAACAAGCAGCTGCACTGGGCTCCATGGAGCCTTGGCCCAGTGCCTGCATGCCTTGGGACCAACAGCAGGGAAGGGGCTGGGGGGTCTTAATTCCCTGATTAAGCCTGGGGAAGCCATTAATCCACATGTTACTAAACATGGATTAATGGCTTCCCCAGAGACAATCAGGATAATTAAGTTGTGGTTTTGGGCCATTCCCAAACAAGCAGCTGCACTGGGCTCCATGGAGCCTTGGCCCAGTGCCTGCATGCCTTGGGACCAACAGCAGGGAAGGGGCTGGGGCTGTGCTGCCCTTGGCCAAGGCATGCATGCACCCACCACTAACAAGGAACCAGGCCAGGACACTGTGGATTCTGGTGCAGCTGCTTGCAGCCTTCTGGGGGAAGCCCCTGTCAGCTGGCAGCAAGTGGCAGGGAGGCTTGGAGCAGCTGCCTGCTACAGCTAGCCCAGGCCTGGGGAAGCCCCTGCCACTGAAGCCCAGGCTGCTTGTAGCCTCTCTGCTGCGAGCAGCCCCGCTGCCCCTTCCTCCATGCTCCAAGACTGCAGGGCTTCTCCCTCTGCTTACTAGTGAGGTTTTTTTTTTTGGTTTTTTGGAAGCAAGCCCAATGATTCACAGACCCTGCCATTTTTTGTGAAATACACCTGATTTCACATTTTCCAGGAAAATCGTGCTTTGGGTAAGTCCCTAGTTATCAGTTATGAAGAGAGTCTTAGCACAGTGCTCTCTGATCCTGCTTGGACCCATTGAACAAATGGATTTAACAACACCATGATTTTTCACCTAGACCCATGATGACGACAACAACAGTTCTTAAGAACCAAACCTCACTGGTATCTCCCTTGAGTTCAGTCTTTTACACTATCACATTTCTTAAAGCTATTGGCATCAGGAAGAGCAGCACATAAATCAAATAAATAACAAAAAGTGAGCAGCATCTTCCTTAAAACCTGCCAAAAAGACTTTGAGCCCTAGAGAAGTGTATCTGCAGTTCCCATTAAGGAATCCTGACAAACCAATAATCCTTTATCACCCCACATTCTGCACCCAGCATTGGGAGTAAGACGCATTGTGTGTCTCATGAAATTTTTAAGTTGGGTCTCTCAGCAAGATTCACAGCCAGAACCTGAGTATACAGTTTGGATCCTGCTGCAAGTGAGGGTCTCCATAGCCAAGACAAAAGCTCTACTCCACCTTGGAAACAAGGTTATTGCACCAAAGTCCCAATCTCACTGTGCCAGAAGAGTCAAAGGCTCCTAAGGGAATTCCATGTTGGTCTGTGAGAGTCAGATCCTTCTGAAGTTTTCAGTGGAGAACCCTGTGTATGGTCATGTCAGAAGCCTTTCTACGAGGACCTGTCTTTTTCTTGGAAATTTTCCCCGTATATCCTTTATGGATGCCCAGATACAAAAGCAAGTTTGGAACTATCCTTGATCCAAAGAGGTTATTCTCTCTTTCAACCCCCCATGCATTTGACATCCTTAGAACTTGGGGAGATTAAGTTATTTAACAGCTTGCTTAAGGGCTCTTCCTCTCTGCTACCAGCTTTACAGGGTTTTCCTCAGGCTTCAACCAAAAAGAATTGGAAGGCTTTGGAGGCAACACTATGGCTCATGGACCTAGACTGGTGAAACAACTCCTCTTATTTAGACAGTAAGCTCAGGCTTCACCTTCCCTACCCAGGCACTTTTCTACAGAATATCGTTAACTCATTAGTTTACAGGACCTCACAAAGGAGGTCATTCACGCTATATCAATAATGTTGTTAATCCTTAAATATCTTCACTCTAAACCAGAGATTTACCTTAGTTTGCAGAAGCAGACACTTATATCAAATGAAACAGCCATGAGCACTTAATAAGTTTGCCATGACACCACAAAAAATTGAAAGGTTTTTGTTTATGATAAAAATGAGACTGCTACAATACCACATTAGGCAAGTGGTATTTTCTTCTAGAATGACAAGAGGGAAGAGTCATTTTTGACTGCCTTAGCCAGATTCCTTTTTGTCAAAAGGACAATTGGAAGATACAGATTATTTGTTCCTTCCCTGAAACATGGCCATCATTACAAGAGCTCAAAAATGGGTCTTTGACTACACAGCTAAGTTCGCAGCTCTTACAGTGGGATGTCATAAAAAAGAAATCTTCCAATATCGCACCAACCATACCTCCTGTGCAAGCACTGAAAAATAGTGTGCACGATAGGCCTTTTTCACAAACAAAGTGAATAGTGCCACATAACCTCAACACTATGGTGGCAGGGTGGATGACTAGAATAGGTTACTGGTTAGTGTAAGAAACTATGCCTTAGTATACACTATTTACAACCAAACCAAAACTGTAGCTACTTAAGAATAGTTGCATTAAATTTAAAAACATCTACTGTAACAGTCTACACACTACATATGAAAGCCTTGAAATAACAATTATATTTCAGTGATTATGTTCATACTTCATAGATTGAGTTAATTCAGATGAATTCTAAATAGATAGTGAAAAGTGGATTTCCAACAAAAGTCTAACTGACTATACATTAAACAGACTGAAAAAGCAGGAATTTGGGTAATTTTAATGCCAGGTTAGTATTTTGAGTTTGGAAGCATATGGTTTCCTCAAAGAATTACCTTACATTTCAGTTAATATTTCTGAATGTACAAATCTATAATGCACGTCTCAACATTCTATCCTTAGTATGTTGTACACGTATGAATTCAAGTTATGCAAGTTTAAGCAGCAGGTTGTACTTTTTTTTCCCCACACAATAGTACAATCTACTCTGTGGCAGAAATATAGATGACTGCACAGGATTTGTTTAAAAAACAAAAGTCTTACCAGGCAAAAGAGGATCTTCAATACACAACATGGATGGTCTATATCCATTGGTCATGGCTTTCATGATTTCTTCTTTGGCAATATAGGCACCTCCATTTTTTATTCTAATTCCAGTTTTCAAGTAATTAAAATTTCTTCCATACAGCTCAAAAAATTCTATTAGAAGCATTCCAAGGTTTTCATCAGCTCTTCTGGCATCAATTCTTGGATGCAACTGCAAAAATTTTCAAAATTCAGTTATGTAAGAGGCATGCACTATTAAATTGACCAGCCACGTATTACTGTTAGACATAATAGCTGCACCATTTAAAAAGGTCAGTGTGACTCCTTAGGAGTGGATCAGAACTGCAATCTTACTGCTTTTCCAGAAGTAATTCTCTCACATTTTCCCACAAGAAACTGTACTAGAACCAAGAGAGGGCAGCACTTCCACACTATATAGAGCATGAAAATACTTTCCCCAGCCCTTTTGAAGAGACATGCAGAACTCAATCTAGTTTCTTTTAAGCAAAAAGCCAATCAGATCTGGGAGCTAGTTAATAATACTTGTGTGGTTTTTCCCATAAGGATTTCAAGTACCAGATATTTTTGTTCATCTTCAGGTCTCCCAACATTTCACCTGCAAATTCTTATGAACTATAGGAGAGAGGTGCATTGCCTCTTGCCCACTACCCCCATACTTTACTACATGGATACTATGTTAATACCCTTAGACCTGTATACCGACACCTTCATAGCTCATCAGGAAATTGGGATCTTTCACCTGCCGCACCCACCTCTAGCAACACAGCAAGTAGTAACAGCGAGCCATAGGAGTTAATGCGGCTGTCGCTCACCTCTCTGCCACCAACATGCACCCCCTCGATGCAGCTCGGAAAGTCAAAATTTGGGAATGGGTTCACTCTGTGCCTGGCCTGCCCACAAATTTCTAGAACCTCCAAGAGCCCTGCAGGAAGTATTTATGACATCCCCGCCCTTATCTATTCTCTCCCGTCCCCTCAGTCCAGTTTGTGTCCCCTTTGCAATTAAATAAGATGGCTTCCTTCCTCACAGTGTCTGTGCACCAGCTGAGGGTCCCCAAGTCCAACAGGCTTCTGCTCTTAGCTTATCCCATCATACCCAGAGAAGTTGGAATAAACCATTAAAGGAAAAGCCTATCTCCATATCCTCTGGCCCAAGGCTGTCTCACGCACAATCTGCTCAGTGCTAGTAGCTTAGAAAGGCTAAAACACGTTCAAATTCAGCTGCTAAGCTGCAGCCAGTGAGCATGTCCAAGCTCCCATTATTCCAATATCAGTGTTGCCATGTTTTCAAGAGGTTAAGAAGTATATTCCTAAAACAAAAGGTCACTTGTGCCAAAACCTTAAGTGCCTGGAACATTTCATAAAGTTTGATGGTTTAAAAAAAACAAAGAAAAAAAAACAAAACAAAACGAACAAAAAAACAAAACACGGGCCTAAATTTCTTCTGCCCCACCCCCAACTGAATCTGGAAACACATGCATGAAGACTGGCTGAAGTTTTCAAAAGCTGAAGCAGAGGCAGATACTTTGTGCAAAGGTCCAACCCACAACCACAGTTTCAAAAAATTAAAAGCAACTGAGAATGGGGTTCTATAACGGGAGGCAATCGGAAATCTAGAGGCAGCATGTTGAGCTCTCCTGCAATATACTAAACAAAAGACACATACCAAATATCCACCAGACTTCCCTTTTTAACAAGGTAGTATGAACTTGTATCCCAGGGTACCACCTCTTGGCATGTCAGAAAAAGCCTTTATAAAAAGGGACTCCGGGAAAGAGAGAGAATAAGACACATTTTTCCCCTTAACATGACTACAATGCAACAGGACTGAACAAAGACTGCCTACACGGGGAAGGTAACAAGAAATGGGTGCCAAAAGATACCACCAAGAGAGAATAAAGAACAACCCATTCAGGGCATTCACTGCAGAAACTGACATCTAGGAAAGTAAAAAAAGGTAACTTACCTGCAGGAAGCTAATTGCCATTAAAATTAGGCTGTAAGAGCTAATTCCACCAGTAAAAACTTCATTCAAATCCCTCTGAAGGAGGAACTGTTTTAAAACTAAAATCAAGTAAGGCAGCAATGAGTACTTCTGCAAAATAAAATTATATATAGATATTACTATCATTTGACAGTTTGAAGATTTTAAGATGCATTAAAAGTCATATTCTGCCATCACAAACTCAAGTTAGAAGATGTTAACATTACTTGGAATGCTGGTTAATAGCAGCTTACAATGATATGGCTCTTATTTGTGGGTATTTTATACAGAATTAAAAAAAAAAAAAAAAAGATGTTGAGGAATAATTACCATGCTTTGTTTGGTATATCATGTCATCACAACCAAAGGGAGTTATGTTTAACATAATATGCTACTTTGAAAAACCTTTTTGTCAGTAAAAACACCTTTACCATTCAAAACATTCTTCAACTTATGCTTGAGGAGGTACATAACTAACAGTGAGTATAACGCTCGATTTCAGTATCAAACAACTAATTATCATTTATGTTTTGTGATACGGGCATGTTTATGAAAACAACATTAATATCCTATTTATGTTCAACATATTTCATTAAAATGGTATAAAAGTAAACTAGTAAGCACAGCTACTAATTATGAGAAGACACAAAACATTAGGGTACCCCATACTATTGATTTTAACATTTAATATTGAAAAAAGTTGCCTTGATCTAAAAGGATGGACATTCAGGCCTCACATGTTTACAAAAGCTAGATACTTAATAAAACTAGCTATTATATAAATGTCTTAAAATATGCTTAATGTTTAGAGCAATGGCAACCTGCACACAAAGGACTGATTTAGTTAAGTTTCTCCTCCATTTTTCCATAGTCATATAAGTAGACACTGCGCCAAAGTTCAGCCTTCCAACAGGTGACAAGATTTCTGTCCACACTGCTTGGGCTAGTTAAAAATGTTATTTAATAAGCCTTTTCATACCAAGAAAGAAAAATAGCTTTTTGAAACAGTGATACACACGTCCACATGAGGATTTTCTGCATGAGTAAGTATCTTTATGGAAGGGAAATATTGACTACACAGGCAAATAGTAAAACTAACTAAACCTGAAATGTTTTCAAATATAGAGTAAACTGATAAAATGGAGCAAACACTCAGGTGCTCTCAGTTATACAAGTCTTCAGTATTACATGTAAGCATATGAGAATGCTCAAGCATATTGTCTCTTTATGCTATGAAAGCTTTATCCAAAAGTTTCAATACTAGAGTGAGCTAGTCATTTAATAAAATCTTAGTTTAGAGAACTGGCCTGGTATTGTTTCTATATTATATTGGGTATAGGCCTGTGAATAATCACTGAGACCCCTAAGTTCCAAGTCTGACATGCTTGGAGCAGATTTGCACCTTATAGGTTAAATAAATCAGATGCATAGCATGAGCTTTCATGAACACAAGCTCATTTCATCAGGTCAGTATCAGCCTCTATGACAGGGGCGGGCAATTATTTTGGAAGGAGGGCCGCTTACTGAGTTTTGGCAAGCCATCAAGAGCCGCATGACAGGCAGGCCAGGGCAGATAAATATTAATTTTCTAAATATTTAGGGGCCCCGCAGGCTGGATAGAATGGCCTGGCAGGTCACATCCAGCCCCCGGGTTGCATTTTGTCCATCCCTGCTCTATGAAATGAGCTTGGGCTCATAATAGCTCATGCTATACATCTCTGATCTAGTTAGCCTATGAGGTGCAAATCTACCCTGCCTGACTTCAGACTAACACAGCCAACTACCTCGAGAAGCGAGAGTAACATCAGAAACTGAAGAGTACAACTTTCCATTTAAATGTTATTAGTATAGTTCCATTAAACACATGGTCCACAAATGACCCTGTGTTCACAGCTGACCATTAATCCAGTACACACATCTCTAAATACAGTATAGCCATTTATGGAGCTTGTACCTTCATATATTCCTTGATAAATCGAGCTGCCTTCACACCAGTTTCTACATTAAAACTGATGTCAACTTTTACTTCTGTCTCCTGGTCAGTAAGTTTTATTATTGGTACCTGCAAAGATTTAAAAGGAAAAAACTGTTTTAATACAATCTCAAAACAAAAGCATCAAACTCTTGCATGTTTGATCAGCAAGCTGTATTTCAATGTCTCAGCCTAATAACTAACTGGCCCAAATGAAGATCCACCTTGCGTTCATTGACAGTAATGCTTAGGAGGATAATTTAGAGTCATTAACTTAAATAACCTGACAATTTTAGTAAGACTAATTCTGGACCCATATAAAATATTTGTATGATGAAGAGGTCTTTTGGTAGGTCTTCATTTTGAATGAAGTAATAATCATTTTCCACTTCTCTAGTACGGCCTCTTTACTCTACACCAGTAGTAGAAAAGTGGTTAGGGTAAGGCTCCTGAAAATTACCAGTTTTTCAATGAGTGCTAAGAAGTGAAAGTGTTTTAAATTTTGCTAGCCAGCCAGCTGTCAACCCATGGCCATATGTCAAAATAGGGCTAGGATCCTGTGGCCTCAATGGACCAAACACTCACGCCTGAACAGGTATGGTTACACAGTTCCTTTGGACCTTTATTTTTTAATTCCCAACTCATTTATTTTCAGATGCCAATCAGAAGTTTGATGAGAGAAATTTTACTAGGTCTCCAGAAGAATTCAAAGTTTATCCAATAGTGAAATCACATTTTTTATCAGGAATTCTCTTTTTAAAATGCACACTGGTTGACCAGAAGGTTCACAAGAAAAGAGAGACAAGAAAGTAGTTCCGATATTGTCACGTACTTCAACACAAAACACCAAATAATCCACTCCTCTGGAACATCCCACTACTCCATCAATAACTAGGAAGCCCCCTGAGGGAGACAGTGTTAATCAGCCTTGTTTACAGACCTCTTCACATCTCCAAATAATAAAACACAAAATTACTGCTTTTAAAAGACAGTGGCCTCAAATCTACTAGAGTTTAAATGTAAAGATTATATTATATTAATTTTTTTCCTGGGAAGGTTAAAGCTCCTGAAATATATTAGTTTTATAGTTCTTAGGATGGCCCTGACTGTCCAGAAGTCTGGAATATCTCAGGATACTAACAGATTAAGTTTCTGCCTGGTATTTTACCAGTGCTTTAATGCGATTTGGAGACAACCAAGGCAGAGTAATTACTCCAAAAACACTTGACTCCTAACATGAGTGAGAACTTCTTTAAGATTTACCAATGTTCATGACAAGGAATAGTTATTTATAAGTTGGCAGACTCAAAAATGCTCTTATTAGCAATACAGCTACATTAAAAGTAGCCAGTACTGTATTTACTCAAAAGGTTTTAGTTCAATCACCATGGAGGGGAGGGGAATATTGTCTTATATTTAAATATAACCCTTGTCTTATATTTGAGGAGCTGGCCAGGGCAGCTCGCAGCAGCTCAGCTCTGGCACCAAGCTAAAGGCAAATCCGAGCCACTGCCTGACCTGGGCCATATCTGCTCATTTGGTAGTGGAAGGGGCTCACTGCCAGGGAGAAGAACACAGAGGAGAATATTTGGCAGTGCTGGAGGGGCAGACCTGCAGCTTGCCCTCCTCCTCCACCTCTTGCCCCTTCATGTCTGAACCTGCCTCCTCACTCCCTTGCAGCATGCCCCCCACAAGAG